TTTAATTTTTGTTATTTCATATTGATAAATATTTTCGTTAATGATATGATATGATTGAGCTCTTACTGGTTAAAGATATGATATGACGGTACGATTTATTTTGATATATGAATGATAAATGTTATTCGGGATTGTACGAATATTTGTATCCTAGTGAGTATTCCCCATACTCACCCCTTTTTCCCTACCTTACAGGTTAGTACGGGTCGTGTTGGAGTGCGGTGGTTTGATGGTGTGGTCGTGTCTCGTCTAAGGAACAAGGATCTAAAATCTAGCACGTAACCTCATTTATTTTAATTTAGTTGTCATGGAAATTTATTTACAATTAAATTTACTGTGCATGTTTATTTTTTACATGGACGTGTTTAAACTTACATTTTTAATTAAATATTTGAATTAAATTGTTTGGTTTCCCCTTACTGCTATTTTTCATTAATGGTAACAAATTTTTACATGTAATTAATTATGAATAGAACGTAACATATGCATGTCCGAAATCTCAAATCAGCAAGAATGTGGGGGAAATTACTCATTTTCTCCGGCCACTAATAATAGTCCAATTCATCTTGCTAGCTATCCGTTATTTTCTGTGAACACTTATGATAATGTCACCTTGATTTGTATTAATTTTAATGATTAGGGTGCTACTGCTGCCTTTCAAATTGATTTATGAATATATCCATGCATGACAAATTAATGAAGACCCTATAATGACGTGAGATTAGGGGAGTTGAGGCCATGTTTCACTTACTGGAGGAAAAGAGAATAAAGTATGCTTATTACTATTATTTTAACAACAGTAAGGAAAATTGCTTAATAACATTTACGCATATTTCTTGCTAAAATGGAACCCCTTATATATTTTTCTTCAAAGTTCATCATAACATGATTTTTATTTCACATGTTAAGATTTCTTTAGGTTATTGACAAGGGATAACATTATTATAAACCCATTTATTTTTTTAAAGAAACATTTGGTAGTGACTTAAGTTTTAAAAAAAAAAATTATTTGATTTTTATAAAATAAAAATAAAATAAAATTGGGTCGCTACACTTCATGTTTGTGGCATAGTCAATTAGGACATGTGAATTACAAATCGTTGCGCAAACTAATGAATCAAAGTTTAATTCCGGCGCATAAAATCAATCCTAATCATAAATGTGAAATATGTGTTGAAACAAAATTTCTAAAACACTGTTCCATTCAATACAAAGAAACACAACCTTTCTTGAATTGATCCATAGCGATATATGCGATCTAAAATTTGTACAAACTCAAGGTGTTAAGAAATACTTTTTGACATTTATTGATAATTGTACAAAGTTTTGCTATGTCTTTTTTTTTTTAGAAGTAAAGACGAAGCCTTAGATGCATTCAAAAGCTATAAGGCTGAAGTTGAAACACAACTTGAAAAATGAATAAAAAATATTCGTAGTGATAGAGGAGGTGAATATGGGACACCGTTTGAAAACTTTTGTTCTGAATATGGAATTGTTCATCAAACAACGACACCTTACTCTCTTCAATCAAATGGTGTTGCAAAACACAAAAACCGAACACTTAAAGAAATGATGAATGCCATGTTCATAAGTTCGGGTTTACCACAGAACATGTGGGGGGAGGCTATTTTAACGGCAAATAGTTTATTTAATAAAATACCTCTTAAGAAAATGGAAGAGACAGCATATGAACTATGGAAAGACTATCCTCCATCCTACCAATACTTGAAAGTGTGGGGGTGTTTGGCTAAGGTTGAGGTACCTAATCCTAAACAAGTGAAAATCGGTCCTAAAACGATAGATTGCATATTTATTGGATACGCCAATAATAGTAATGCTTATCAATTTCTTGTACACAAATCCGAAATATAAGACGTATACGAAGGGACCATAATTAAATCAAGGAATGCAACATTCTTTGAAAATATTTTCCTTGCAAAGATAAGGAAAATACGAGTTCTAACAAGAGAACATATGAAACTACCAATGGAATTTCAAATGAGGAAGAATCAAGGCGTAGTAAAAGGGTTAGGACTTCCAAGACATTTGGCCCAAATTTTCTAACCTATATGGTAGATGATGATCCAAAGACTTTCGATGAAACAATGTCTACACCGGAAGC